TTAGCATCATCATCGTCATCTTCGTCGTAGTCAGCGTCAGCGTCAGCGTCATCGTCATCATCATCACCACCAACATCATCGTCAGCATCATCATCATTATCATCATCATCATCATCATCATCATCATTTACATCACCATCAACTGCATCATTTTTCAGCATCCTCGTCGCGTGGTCCTCATTGTCATCACGTCGTCAACATCATTGAGGTTCGTTCGCCTCACCATACGCATCCTCCAGCGTGGCGATTGCAAGCAAGCAAGAAGGAATAGCTGCATGTACTCACGTTAACATTATCTGGGATTGGTGACTGCGGGGTGCAGGGATTATCTCGACGAGAAGGACGTGGAGTACATGTGATCGACCAATGATGTTTTTCTCGACGAGACGGATGTGGAATACATGTGATCGACCTCGCCGAGCGTCCTGGGACCGGAAGGCCATGCATGACCACGCACCCTCCAGACAACCTGGACAAGTGGTACGACAATTCCTCGGAGGAGGCTAGGATGGGCGAGGGGGAACCAGGGGAGCACACGCAGAGCCTCTTCGAGAGCCTTGCCACAGACCAGGATACCCCTCAGAACTCGTCCTTGAGGGCCTTCACGGGGAAGGCCTTCACGATGGTCTTGGCCGGCTTCGCCTTCACCATGACGACCTTGCCGAAGATCTCGCGCTTCCCGGCCTTGGTCGCCTTCTTCTGGCGGGTCTTGATCATCACAACGCCCGGGATGACGAACTTGCCGTTCTTCTTCGCCTCTGTCGTCGCAATGCTCGCGAGAGTGCTCAGGGCCGTGCCGATCACGCCCCTCTTCACCTCGCAGGCCTCCGCGAGCGCTGCGGTGAGGGAGCTCTTGGTCATGACCGTGGACTTCATCATCGGCGCCATCTCGGCTGCTTGGCTGAGGAGATAGCAGCCCTGTCGATGCCTCTGGTCTGTGCGCGTGGGCCGGAACTTGAGCCAACATGTTTACGACGTACGATGTGTCTGTCGGGCGGGCCTGTGTGTTAACTCTGCGTCGCATCGCTCCTCCTCCACCTCCTCCTCCCGGCACTCTGCTGCATCCTTCCACATCCCGCCTCCCCCTCCTCACAGTCCCGCTTTTCCGGGCCCCCCATTTCCTCACCGTCCCTCTTCACGGTCTACCTGCACCTTTTCCTCTACCTCCTCCATCTCCTCCTCCTTCTCCTGAGTCTTACTAGTGAAGTGGCCCATCCTAGTGTATCTTCTCGACCATGGAGAATGCCCTCGTAATCGCCTCGACGAAACTGCGCAACACGCCCACCATCACAAGCACCATCACCATCACCGTCACCATCACCATCACCATCACTATCATCCTCATCGCCATCATCGCCATCGCCCTCATCATCATCGGCAGCATCATCAGCAGCATCGACATCGTCATCGTCATCGTCATCACCATCGCCATCGTCATCGTCGTCGTCATCATAATCATAATAATAATCATCATCACCATCATCATCATCATCACCATGAGTAGTATCATCACCATCATCATAAGCAGCATCATTAGCATCATCATCATCGTCATCTTCGTCGTAGTCAGCGTCAGCGTCATCGTCATCGTCATCATCATCACCACCAACAACATCATCATCAGCATCATCAGTATCATCATCATCATTAGCATCATCATCATCATCGTCATCATCATCATCATCATCATCATCTGCATCATTTTTTCAGCATCCTCGTCGCGTGGTCCTCATTGTCATCATGTCGTCAACATCATTGAGGTTCGTTCGCCTCACCATACGCATCCTCCAGCGTGGCGATTGCAAGCAAGCAAGATGGAATATCTGCATGTACTCACTTTAACATTATCTGGGATTGGTGACTGCGGGGTGCAGGGATTATCTCGACGAGAAGGACGTGGAGTACATGTGATCGACCAATGATGTGTTTCTCGACGAGACGGATGTGGAATACATGTGATCGACCTCGCCGAGCGTCCTGGGACCGGAAGGCCATGCATGACCACGCACCCTCCAGACAACCTGGACAAGATGGTACGACAATTCCTCGGAGGAGGCTAGGATGGGCGAGGGGGAACCAGGGGAGCACACGCAGAGCCTCTTCGAGAGCCTTGCCACAGACCAGGATACCCCTCAGAACTCGTCCTTGAGGGCCTTCGCGGGGAAAGCCTTCACGATGGTCTTGGCCGGCTTCGCCTTCACCATGACGACCTTGCCGAAGATCTCGCGCTTCCCGGCCTTGGTCGCCTTCTTCTGGCGGGTCTTGATCATCACAACGCCCGGGATGACGAACTTGCCGTTCTTCTTCGCCTCTGTCGTCGCAATGCTCGCGAGAGTGCTCAGGGCCGTGCCGATCACGCCCCTCTTCACCTCGCAGGCCTCCGCGAGCGCTGCGGTGAGGGCGCTCTTGGTCATGACCGTGGACTTCATCATCGGCGCCATCTCGGCTGCTTGGCTGAGGAGATAGCAGCCCTGTCGATGCCTCTGGTCTGTGCGCGTGGGCCGGAACTTGAGCCAACATGTTTACGACGTACGATGTGTCTGTCGGGCGGGCCTGTGTGTTAACTCTGCGTCGCATCGCTCCTCCTCCACCTCCTCCTCCCGGCACTCTGCTGCATCCTTCCACATCCCGCCTCCCCCTCCTCGGGGATCTTCTGACCCGGTTCAATCCAGACCCGGGTCAGCAGGAAACCAAAAACTGCAATGCAGGAACAAAAAACTGCAACGCAGATCCTCGCAAACCCGGGTCAGCCAATAGGCGCGGCCGCCTCGCGGCCACGAGCGGCTCCCTGACCCGGGTCAGCCAGAGGGGGTCTTCGCAGGATCCTGCAGGATCTGGTGCCCTGGCTGACCCCCGTTTGCATTGACCCCCGTCTCGAGGCTCCCGACCTCCTCACAGTCCCGCTTTTCCGGGCCCCCCATTTCCTCACCGTCCCTCTGCACGGTCTACCTGCACCTCTTCCTCTACCTCCTCCATCTCCTCCTCCTTCTCCTGAGTCTTACTAGTGAAGTGGCCCATCCTAGTGTATCTTCTCGACCATGGAGAATGTCCCCATAATCGCCTCGACGAAACTGCACACCACGCCGACCATCACCATCACCATCACCATTACCATCATCATCACTATCGCCATCATCGCCATCGCCCTCATCATCATCGGCAGCATCATCAGCAGCATCGGCATCGTCATCGTCATCGTCATCGCCATCGTCATCGGCATCGTCGTCGTCATCAGAATCATAATAATAATCATCATCACCATCATCATCATCATCATCATCATCATCATCATCGTCATCGGCATCGCCGTCGACGTAATCGGCGTCAGCGTAATCGTCATCGTCACCACCATCGTCATCACCATCATCATCATCATCATCATCACCATCACCATCACCATCATCAGCATCATCATCATCATCATTATCATCCTCGTCCTCATCATCATCAACTGCGTCATTACGTCATCGTCATCATGGAGGTTCCTTCGCCTTCTGATCCGCATCCTCTAGCATGGCTGCTGCAAGCAACCCAGAAGGAATAGCTGCATGTGCGCACGGGGACAGTATCTGGGACTGATAACCGAGGGGTGCAGTGATGTTTTTCTCGACGAGACGGATGTGGAATACATGGCGTCCACCTCGCTGAGCGTCCTGGGACCGGAAGGTCATGCACGACCACGCACCCTCCAGACAACCTGGACAAGATGGTACGACAATTCCTCGGAGGAGGCAAGGACGGGCGAGGAGGAACTGAGGAGACACACGTAGAGCCTCTCCGAGAGGCTTGCCACAGACCTGGATGTCCCTCAGAACTCGTCCTTGAGGGCCTTCGCGGGGAAGGCCTTCACGATGGTCTTGGCCGGCTTCGCCTTCACCATGACGACCTTGCCGAAGATCTCGCGTTTCCCGGCCTTGGTCGCCTTCTTCTGGCGGGTCTTGATCATCACAACGCCCGGGATGACGAACTTGCCGTTCTTCTTCGCCTCTGTCGTCGCAATGCTCGCGAGAGTGCTCAGGGCCGTGCCGATCACGCCCCTCTTCACCTCGCAGGCCTCCGCGAGCGCTGCGGTGAGGGCGCTCTTGGTCATGACCGTGGACTTCATCATCGGCGCCATCTCGGCTGCTTGGGCGAAAAAGCGACGGCGCTGTCGATGCCTTCTGGTCTGTGCGCGTGTGCCGGAACTTGAGCCAAACCAGTTTCGGAATACGATATTGCTGTCGGTTGGGTCTGCGCATTCGGCTTCACATCCCTCGTGTTCCGCCCCTTCCTCCCGCTTTTCTTCTGTACTCCTCTCCTCCTCCCCCGCCTCCCCCTCCTCACCATCCTGCTTCTTCGCGTATCCCGTCGCCTCACCGTCCCCCTACTTCATCATCCTCCACCTCTTCCTCCACATTTTCTTTCTTCTCATCCTCCTCCTCATACTGACTAGTTGAGTGGCCATGTCAGCACACTCAAGCATTGAAAAACTGACGACCCTGTCGGCGAGTGTGAGAGGCTTTTCCGTTCGAGTCGTCGTCGTCGTCATCGTCGTCGTCGTCGCCGTCACCGCTCCCCTCTGTCCCTGTCCGTGGGCCCTCCTATTCAAACGTTCCAGTCAACGAGAAATCAAGCAACGTCGTAGTCGAGTCGAAAGGATGCCCTGTCCTTTTGATCCCCTCCCCGCGTGGAGGGGTCCTGGGGGGGTATTTAGGGGGGGGGGCCCGGGGGTTGTGACCTCCCCCCGTGGGGGAGCACCCCTCCCTGGCAGAAACTTTCCCCTTCGATTCCTTGCCTCCCAGACGCCTCCAGCTCCCCCTTCAGGGTCGGCGGCACCGGTCGTAAGGCCTTCGCACTATCCCCCGAGGCAAATCGACGAAACTGCGCAATTATTTCATACGAGAAGTCGCTGACGATGTCTACTGGACCATCGCGATCATCACCAACATCATCGACGCGTGATCATCATTGTCATCAGCGCCACCACTATCATGCCTTTCCTTCGCCTCCTCATCCGCATCCTCTAGCATGGCTGCTGCAAGCAACCCAGAAGGAATAGCTGCATGTGCTCACGGGAACAGTATCTGGCATTGGTGACCGAGGGGTGCAGTGATGTTTTTCTCGACGAGACGGATGTGGAATACATGGCGTCCACCTCGCCGAGCATCCTGGGACCGGAAGGTCATGCACGACCACGCACCCTCCAGACAACCTGGACAAGATGGTACGACGATTCCTCGGAGGAGGCAAGGACGGGCGAGGAGGAACTGAGGAGACACACGTAGAGCCTCTCCGAGAGGCTTGCCACAGACCTGGATGTCCCTCAGAACTCGTCCTTGAGGGCCTTCGCGGGGAAGGCCTTCACGATGGTCTTGGCCGGCTTCGCCTTCACCATGACGACCTTGCCGAAGATCTCGCGCTTCCCGGCCTTGGTCGCCTTCTTCTGGCGGGTCTTGATCATCACAACGCCCGGGATGACGAACTTGCCGTTCTTCTTCGCCTCTGTCGTCGCAATGCTCGCGAGAGTGCTCAGGGCCGTGCCGATCACGCCCCTCTTCACCTCGCAGGCCTCCGCGAGCGCTGCGGTGAGGGCGCTCTTGGTCATGACCGTGGACTTCATCATCCGCGCCATCTCGGCTGCTTGGGCGAAGAAGCAACGGCGCTGTCGATGCCTTCTGGTCTGTGCGCGTGTGCTGGAACTTGAGCCAAAACGGATACGGAATGCGATGTTGTTGTCGGCTGGGCCTGCGTACTCGGTTTCCCATCCCTCGTGATCCGCCCCTTCCTCCCGCTTTTCTTCTGTACCCCGTCCGTGGGCCCTGTCCGTGGGCCCTCCTGTTCAAGCGTTCCAGTCAACGAGAAGTCAAGCAACGTCGTAATCGAATCGAAAGGATGCCCTGTCCTTTTGATCCCCTCCCCGCGGGGGGGGGGTCCTGGGGGGGTATTTAGGGGGGGGGTCCCGGGGGTTGTGCCCTCCCCCCGTGGGGGAGCACCCCTCCCTGGCAGAAACTTTCCCCTTCGACTCCTTGCCTCCCAGATGCCTCTGGCTCCCCCGTCAGGGTCGGCGGCACCAGTCGTAAGGCCTTCACAGTATGCCCCGGGGCAACTCGACGAAACTGCGCAATTATCTCATACGAGACGTCGCCGACGATGTCTACCGGATCATCGCGATCATCACCAACATCATCGTCGCGTGATCATCATTGTCATCAGCGCCACCACCATCATGGCCTTTCTTCGCCTCCTCATCCTCATCCTCTAGCATGGCTGCTGCAAGGAACCCGGAAGGAATAGCTGCATGTGCTTACAGGAACAGTATCTGGGATTGGTGACTGAGGGGTGCAGTGATGTTTTCCTCGACGAAACGGATGTGGTGTACATGGTGTCCACCTCGCCGAGCGTCCTGGGACCGGAAGGCCATGAATGACCACGCACCCTCCAGACGACCTAGACAAGATGGTACGACGATTCCTCGGAGGCAAGGATGGGCGGGGAGGAACCAGGGGAGCACACGCAGAGCCTCTTCGAGAGGCTTGCCACAGACAGGGATATCCATCAGAACTCGTCCTTGAGGGCCTTCGCGGGGAAGGCCTTCACGATGGTCTTGGCCGGCTTCGCCTTCACCATGACGACCTTGCCGAAGATCTCGCGCTTCCCGGCCTTGGTCGCCTTCTTCTGGCGGGTCTTGATCATCACAACGCCCGGGATGACGAACTTGCCATTCTTCTTCGCCTCGGTCGTCGCAATGCTCGCGAGGGTGCTCAGGGCCGTGCCGATCACGCCCCTCTTCACCTCGCAGGCCTCCGCGAGCGCTGCGGTGAGGGCGCTCTTGGTCATGACCGTGGACTTCATCATCGGCGCCATCTCGGCTGCTTGGGCGAAGAAACAGCGGCGCTGTCGATGCCTTCTGGTCTGTGCGCGTGGGCCGGAACTTGAGCCAAAACGGATACGGAATACGATATTGCTGTCGGGCGAGCCTGTGTGTTGGCTCTGCTTCCCATCGCTCCCCCTCCACCTCCTCCTCCCGCTTCTCTGTTACATCCCTCCACCTCCCGCTTCCCATTCCTCAAAGTCCCGCTTTTCCGCGTCCCCCGTCTCCTCACCGTCCCTCTGCACCGTCTTCCTCCACCTCTTCTAATCCTCCTCCTTAGTCCTTCTAGTTGAGTGGCCACGCCAGTATATGTCACAGGGCCCATCCGATGTATCTTCTCAACCATTGGGAACGTCCCTCGAAACAACTCGACGAAACTACACAAACATTCCGTGCGATGATCCGCTTACGATGAGTAGTGGATCATTATACTCATCATACGCATCGCCACCATCGTCGCCATCATCATCATCATCATCATCATCATCATCATCATCATCATCATCAGCATCATCATCATCGTCACCATCATCATCACCACCGTCATTAGCATATTCATTTGAATCATACTGATCAGCATCATCATATTCATGTGCATCGCCATCTTCATATTCATCAGCATGACCACCATCATCGTGACCATCCTCATCATCAGTATCAACAACATCATCAGCAGCAGCATCAACAACAACATCATCATCGTCACCATCACTATCCCCATCACCATCACCATCACCGTCATCATCGTCATAGTCATCATCGTCATAATCGGCATCGTCATCGTCATCATCATCATCATCATTATCAGCATCAGCATCAGCATCAGCATCAGCATCATCATCATCATCATCATCCTCATCAGCATCATCATCATCATCATCATCATCATCATCATCACCACCACCACCACCACCACCACCATCATCATCATCATCATCATCATCATCATCATCATCATCATCATCATCATCATTACCATCATATCGTGCTCATTATCATCATAACCGTCATCATTATTCGCAGCATCATAACCATCAACATCGGCGGCATCATTTTTCAATTGCATCTTCGCGTGGACATCGTTGTCACCATCGTCGTCATCATTGAGATTCCTTCATCTTCTCATCGGCATCCTCCAGCATGGCTGTTGCAAGGAACCCGGGAGGAATAGCTGCATGTGCTCACGGGAACAGTATCTGGGATTAGTTACTGAGGGGTGCAGTGATGTTTTTCTCGACAAGACGGATGTGGAGTACATGGTGTCCACCTCGCCGAGCGTCCTGGGACCGGAAGGCCATGAATGACCACGAACCCTCCAGACGACCTAGACAAGATGGTACGACGATTCCTCGGAGGAGGCAAAGATGGGCGGGGAGGAACCAGGGTAGCACACGCAGAGCCTCTTCGAGAGGCTTGCCACAAACAGGGATATCCATCAGAACTCGTCCTTGAGGGCCTTCGCGGGGAAGGCCTTCACGATGGTCTTGGCCGGCTTCGCCTTCACCATGACGACCTTGCCGAAGATCTCGCGCTTCCCGGCCTTGGTCGCCTTCTTCTGGCGGGTCTTGATCATCACAACGCCCGGGATGACGAACTTGCCGTTCTTCTTCGCCTCGGTCGTCGCAATGCTCGCGAGAGTGCTCAGGGCCGTGCCGATCACGCCCCTCTTCACCTCGCAGGCCTCCGCGAGCGCTGCGGTGAGGGCGCTCTTGGTCATGACCGTGGACTTCATCATCGGCGCCATCTCGGCTGCTTGGGCGAAGAAACAGCGGCGCTGTCGATGGCTTCTGGTCTGTGCGCGTGGGCCGGAACTTGAGCAAGAACGGACACGGAATATGATATTGCTGTCGGCTGGGCCTGCGTACTCGGTTTCGCATCCTTCGTGATCCGCCCCTTCCTCCCGCTTTTCTTCTGTACCCCTGTCCTCCTACCCCGCCTCCCCCTCCTCACCATCCTTCCTCTTCGCGTATCCCATCGCTTCACCGTCCCCCTGCCCCATCATTCTCCACCTCTTCCTCCACTTGTTCTTTCTTCTCATCCTCCTCCTCATACTTACCTAGTTGAGTGGCCACGCCAGCACATGTCGCAGAACCCATCTTATGTATATTATCAAGCATTGGAAAACTGACGACCCTGTCGGCGAGTGTGAGGCTTTTCCGTTCGACTCGTCGTCGTCGTCGTCGTTGTCGTCATCGTCGTCGTCGTCGCCGTCACCGCTCCCCTCTGTCCCTGTCCGTGGGCCCTCCTGTTCAAGCGTTCCAGTCAACGAGAAGTCAAGCAACGTCGTAATCCAATCGAAAGGATGCCATGTCCTTTTGATCCCCTCCCCGCGGGGGGGGGGGTCCTGGGGGGGTATTAAGGGGGGGGGGGTCCCGGGGGTTGTGCCCTCCCCCCGTGGGGGAGCACCCCTCCCTGGCAGAAACTTTCCCCTTCGATTCCTTGCCTCCCAGATGCATCTGGCTCCCCCGTCAGGGTCGGCGGCACCAGTCGTAAGGCCTCCACAGTATGCCCCGGGGCAACTCGACGAAACTGCGCAATTATCTCATACGAGACGTCGCCGACGATGTTTACTGGATCATCGCGATCATCACCAACATCATCGTCGCGTGATCATCATTGTCATCAGCGCCACCACCATCATGGCCTTTCTTCGCATCCTCATCCTCATCCTCCAGCATTGCTGTTGCAAGGAACCCGGAAGGAATAGCTGCATGTTACATCCCTCCCACCTCCCGCCTCCCACTCCTCACAGTCCCGCGTTTCCGCGTCAGCCCGTCTCCTCACCGTCCCTCTGCACCGTCTAATCCTCCTCCTTAGTCCTTCTAGTTGAGTGGCCACGTCAATATATGTCACAGGGCCCATCCGATGTATCTTCTCAACCATTGGGAACGTCCCTGGAAAACATTCCGTGCGATGATCTGCTTACGATGAGTATTGGATCATTCTGATCATTACCACCATCACCAACACCACCACCACCATCACCGTCCCCATCACCATCCCCATCACCATCATACTCATCATAAGCATCGCCACCATCGTCGCCATCATCATCGTCATCAGCAGCAGCATCATCATCATCATCAGCATCATCATCATCCTCATCACCACCATCATCAGCATATTCATTTAATTCATACTGATCAGCATCATCATATTCATGTTCATCGTCATCTTCACTTTCATCAGCATGCCCATCATCATCGTCACCATCCTCATCATCAGCATCAGCAGCAACATCATCATCAACATCATCATCATCGTTACCATCACTATCCCCATCACCATCACCGTCATCATCTTCATATTCATCATCGTCATAATCGTCATCGTCTTCATCATCATCATCATCATCATCATCATCATCATCATCATTAGCATCATCATCATTACCATCATCATCGTGCTCATCATCATCATCGTCATCATTATCAACAACATCATCACCATCAGCATCGGCAACATCATTTTCAATATCATCTTCGCGTGGACATCGTTGTCACCATCGTCGTCGTCATTGAGATGCCTTCATCTTCTCATCCGCATCCTCCAGCATGACTGTTGCAAGGAACCTGGGAGGAATAGCTGCCTGTGCTCACGGGAACAGTATCTGGGATTGGTGACTGAGGGGTGCAGTGATGTTTTTCTCGACGAGACGGATGTGGTGTACATGGTGTCCACCTCGCCGAGCGTCCAAATGGAAGGCCATGCATGACCACGTACCCTCCAGACGACCTAGACAAGATGGTACAACGATTCCTCGGAGGCAAGGATGGGCGGGGAGGAACCAGGGTAGCACACGCAGAGCCTCTTCGAGAGGCTTGCCACAGACAGGGATATCCATCAGAACTCGTCCTTGAGGGCCTTCGCGGGGAAGGCCTTCACGATGGTCTTGGCCGGCTTCGCCTTCACCATGACGACCTTGCCGAAGATCTCGCGCTTCCCGGCCTTGGTCGCCTTCTTCTGGCGGGTCTTGATCATCACAACGCCCGGGATGACGAACTTGCCGTTCTTTTTCGCCTCTGTCGTCGCAATGCTCGCGAGAGTGCTCAGGGCCGTGCCGATCACGCCCCTCTTCACCTCGCAGGCCTCCGCGAGCGCTGCGGTGAGGGCGCTCTTGGTCATGACCGTGGACTTCATCATCGGCGCCATCTCGGCTGCTTGGGCGAAGAAACAGCGGCGCTGTCGACGGCTTCTGGTCTGTGCGCGTGGGCCGGGACTTGAGCCAAAATGTTCGGCACGAAACACGATGTGTCTGTCGGGCGAGCCTGTGTGTTGACTCTGCTTTCCATCACTCCTCCTCCACCTCCTCCTCCCGCTTCCCTGTTACATCCCTCCCACCTCCCGCCTCCCACTCCTCACAGTCCGGCGTTTCCGCGTCAGCCCGTCTCCTCACCGTCCCTCTGCACCGTCTTCCTCCACCTCCTCTAATCCTCCTCCTTAGTCCTTCTAGTTGAGTGGCCACGTCAGTATATGTCACAGGGCCCATCCGATGTATCTTCTCAACCATTGGGAACGTCCCTCGAAAACATTCCGTGCGATGATCCGCTTACGATGAGTATTGGATCATTCTGATCATTACCACCATCACCACCACCACCACCACCACCATCCCCGTCCCCATCACCAGCACCATCCCCATCACCATCATACTCATCATAAGCATCGCCACCATCGCCGCCACCATCATCATCACCATCATCATCATCATCATCATCATCATCATCGTCACCATCATCATCACCGCCATCATTGTCATATTCATTCAAATCATACTGATCAGCATCATCATATTCAGTTTCATCGTCATCTTCATTTTCATCAGCATGACCATCATCATTGTGACTTCCTCATCATCAGTATCAACAGCATCATCAGCAGCAACATCATCATCAACATCATCATCATCATCATCATCGTTACCATCACTATCCACTATCCCCATCACCATCACCGCCATCATCTTCATATTCATCATCGTCATGATCGTCATCGTCATCATCATCATCAGCATCATCATCAGAATCATCACCATCATTATCGTGCTCATCATCATCATCATCATCGTCATCATTATCAGCAGCATCATCACCATCAGCATCGGCAACATCATTTTCAATATCATCTTCGCGTGGACATCGTTGTCACCATCGTCGTCATCATTGAGACTCCTTCATCTTCTCATCCGCATCCTCCAGCATGGCTGTTGCAAGGAACCCGGGAGGAATAGCTGCATGTGCTCACAGGAACAGTATCTGGGATTAGTTACTGAGGGGTGCAGTGATGTTTTTCTCGACGAGACGGATGTGGAGTACATGGTGTCCACCTCGCCGAGTGTCCAACCGGAAGGCCATGCATGACCACGTACCCTCCAGACGACCTAGCCAAGATGGTACGACGATTCCTCGGAGGAGGCAAGGATGGGCGGGGAGGAACCAGGGTAGCACACGCAGAGCCTCTTCGTGAGGCTTGCCACAGACAGGGATATCCATCAGAACTCGTCCTTGAGGGCCTTCGCGGGGAAGGCCTTCACGATGGTCTTGGCCGGCTTCGCCTTCACCATGACGACCTTGCCGAAGATCTCGCGCTTCCCGGCCTTGGTCGCCTTCTTCTGGCGGGTCTTGATCATCACAACGCCCGGGATGACGAACTTGCCGTTCTTCTTCGCCTCTGTCGTCGCAATGCTCGCGAGAGTGCTCAGGGCCGTGCCGATCACGCCCCTCTTCACCTCGCAGGCCTCCGCGAGCGCTGCGGTGAGGGCGCTCTTGGTCATGACCGTGGACTTCATCATCGGCGCCATCTCGGCTGCTTGGGCGAAGAAACAGCGGCGCTGTCGATGGCTTCTGGTCTGTGCGCGTGGGCCGGGACTTGAGCCAAAACGTTAGGCACGAAACACGATGTGTCTGTCGGGCGAGCCTGTGTGTTGACTCTGCTTTCCATCACTCCTCCTCCACCTCCTCTTCCCGCTTCCCTGTTGCATCCCTCCCACCTCCCGCCTCCCACTCCTCACAGTCCGGCGTTTCAGCGTCCGCCCGTCTCCTCACCGTTCCTCTGCACCGTCTTCCTCCACCTCCTCTAATCCTCCTCCTTAGTCCGTCTAGTTGAGTGGCCACGTCAGTATATGTCACAGGGCCCATCCGATGTATCTTCTCAACTGGGAACGTCCCTCGAACCAACTCGACGAAACTGCACAATCATGTCATACGATGAGACCCTTAAGATGAGTATTGGATCGTAATGATTATTACCACCATCATCGCCACCACCACGGCCACCATTACCATCACCATCACCATCACCAGCACCAGCACCACCACCATCATCATCATCATCATCATGAACATCATCATCATCATCATCATCACCATCATCATCATCATCATCACCATCACCATCACCATCACCATCATCATCATCATCACCATCATCATCATCGCCATCATCATCACCGTCATCGTCATCATCAGCATCATCACCATCATCATCAGCATCGTCGCCATCGTCATCATTATCACCACCTCCATAACAAGCATCATAATCATCATCATCATATTCATAATCATGAGGATGATCATCATCATCATAATCATCATGGTCACCATCGTTATCACTATCATCATCAGCAGCACCATCATCAGCAGCATCAACACCAATATCCAAATCATCATCAGCAGAATCATCATCAGCAGCATCAGCATCATCATCATCACCAAACTTATCATCATCATCATCATCATCATCATCATCATCATCATTATCATCATCATGACCATCGGACCATCATCATCATCACCATCACCATCACCATCATCACCATGTGCATTATTTTCAGAAGCATCGTCGCGTGGACATTATTGCCATCATCGTCGTGATCATTGAGATTCCTTCGCCTCCTCATCCTCATGCTCCAGCATTGCTGTTGCAAGCAACCCAGAAGGAATAGCTGCATGCGTTCACGAGAACAGTATCCAGGATTGGTGACTGGGAGGTACAATGATGTTTTGCTCGACGAGACGGATGTGGTGTACATGGTGTCCACCTCGCCGAGCGTCCTGGGACCGGAAGGTCATGCATGACCACGCACCCTCCAGACAACCTGGACAAGATGGTACGACGATTCCTCGGAGGCAAGGATGAGCGAGGAGGCACCAGGGCAGCACACGCAGAGCCTCTTCGAGAGGCTTGCCACAGACAGGGATATCCATCAGAACTCGTCCTTGAGGGCCTTCGCGGGGAAAGCCTTCACGATGGTCTTGGCCGGCTTCGCCTTCACCATGACGACTTTGCCGAAAATCTCGCGCTTCCCAGCCTTGGTCGCCTTCTTCTGGCGGGTCTTGATCATCACAACGCCCGGGATGACGAACTTGCCGTTCTTCTTCGCCTCTGCCGTCGCAATGCTCGCGAGAGTGCTCAGGGCCGTGCCGATCACGCCCCTCTTCACCTCGCAGGCCTCCGCGAGCGCTGCGGTGAGGGCGCTCTTGGTCATGACCGTGGACTTCATCATCGGCGCCATCTCGGCTGCTTGGGCGAGGAAGCAGCGGCGCTGTCGACGGCTTCTGGTCTGTGCGCGTGGGCCGGGACTTGAGCCGAACGGTTACGGAATACGAGCTCGCTGTCGGGAACCTGCGCTCCATCCCTCTTCCCGCTTCTCTTTAGTACCACTCCTCCTCCCCCTCCCCTCCTCCCGCCTCCGGCCCCGCCCTTCCCCTCCCCGTCGCCCTGCGATGTGTCGGCGATGCGTCGCGACCCTCCGACCTAACCCAGTCTGAAACCTGAGCATCGTTTCACCGATCCCCATCCCCAGCGGCGCGGCCTGGGGCCCACTGGCCGATTCACCTCCCCAGATGGGGATATATAGGTCGTTCACTTCGGGTTTCGAGGGGTGCATCCCAAACTGGGGTGGCAATTTGGTAGGGGTCTCTAAGGGCATGGGGATGGGGATTGTCGGCGGTGGACATACCTCCCTTTAAACCTCCCCTTTGTGAAGACGGCCTGGGACCGAAACCGACGGACCTGGACCCGCGAAAATGACGGCCGCGACGCCCTCTCGCGAACCGACATCGGCCAATTCGCTAAACGACGTGTCAGTGTAGGAGGTCCGTCCACCTCCGAGAGTGGTTGAACGATACTGAACACCAATTGGGAGGCCCCGGATCTTGGACTCGGACGCAGTCCACCCGCCTCGCAGACCCGGCGTGCCGTGGCGGACGGCAGCCCGCACGCCTCCGCACCTGCAGGGCCAGGTGCCCCCGCCTCCTCTTGCGCTGGAGCCCTCCGCCTGCGGACACAGACCTACAATCTACTCCAAATTCGGGGATGGACAGAACCCCCTTTAGCAAAACGTGGTTTAGTGAAAACGACGTCGGGCCCAAACCTGGCGGGCGCAAGCCTGAAAAATTATGGTCGAGGCACCCTCTCGAGAACCGAAAACGGACAACTAACTAATCGACGTGTCAGGGTGGGGGTTCTGTCCACCCCCGACAAATCCCTTATTGATCGTCCCCCGGGTCCGGTCTTTTAAGGCACCCTTTTTTGTAACTGGGGGTGCCTGGTTTATCAGGGCGCTTCCTTTGGATTAGAGCTTAGGGGTCCCGTTTATGAAGGCGCTCCGTCGAAGAGGGGGGTCTGGAATGTTAGGTTGCATTTGGAGGGGGGTCTGGCTTTTAGGGGGGTGTCGATTAATGAGGGATTTGGAGTACTGAGGATATGAGAACGGCGTTTTCTTATCACACGCCTCGTCGTCCAGAGGCCGTTTCTCCGGGCCCCTGGGCAGCAGAGCGAACAGGAACGATCTGGGGCAACAGAGGGTCCCCGGGAAGGAAGGGGTTGAGAGATCCGCGACACGCACAGCAAACATATCAGGACATCGGATGTTCAGTCGGACTTGATTGGAGAGGACACGCGAGAGGACACAAGACCGTTCCGAGGGCCACGTTGCCACAGGAATGCAGGAGGACACGAGGGTTCCCTTGATCTGGCAGGGTCGACCTACTAATCCGGGCCGACTGTACCTCCCCTGCCACCGCCGCTGCCCCATGCAGGCTGGAGGTGCGAACCGCACCGCAGCGACAGGCGATCGCGGGGCCCAGGGCAACAGCGCTGCCACGGAGCCCGAGGAGGAGGAGGAGGAGGAGGAGGAGGAGGACGATGAGGAGGACGAGGAGGAGGAGGAGGAGGAGGAGGAGGCGGAGGAGGAGGGAGGAGGAGGAGGAGGAGGAGGAGGAGGAGGAGGGAGGGAGGAGGAGGAGGAGGAGGAGGAGGAGGAGGGGCCGCGTCGCCTCAGAGCCGCAGCCGCTCCAGCTGCGACAGGCCCCTTGGACTGCGGCGGGCGGAGAAAGGCTCGGGCCCTGCCTCTCCCCGGGCCCCAGGCGAGCGATAACGCCCACGCCGCTCGCGCCCCGACGGGCCCCTCTGCTCCACGCCCTCCGCTCTCCGCTCCCATGGAGCAAGGCTGAGCCTAAACGGTGCTTTTCGTTTTCGTTTTGTCTTCGTTTTCCCCCGCTTCTGTCTCGCATCCGCCCTTACCGCAAAACGAAGTCGGAACGAAAACGGCCCACGAAATCGCCCAAAGCACCGTTTGGGTCCACCTCTGCTCCACGCCCTCCGATCTCCGCTCCCTGGAGTCTCCCCGGCGGCGCCGGAGAAGGAGTCGAAGCGCACCGGCACCAGGCCAAGTCATGCACCCAAGCCTGGAACGGGGCTGGACCAGCTGCAGCGAGGACGGCATGCAGGCAGCTCGATGGCTGCAGAGCATCCTGGGACAGACGTGTCCGGACGGGACGCCGTCCTGAAGCGGGATATGGGGCATGCTCTAGTCGACGGCGATCTGGGCCAGCGGCATGGACGTGTTAAGGTCGCGTTTCAGCGCAGCCCTGGACATTCGGCGGTTTCCCTCCACCTTTCTGGACGCCCACGAAGCTCACTGGATCAACAGCTGCCTCCCAGGCTGCCAGGCCAGATTCGGCGTAGCTAGCAAGCCTGTTGGAGGAGGCGGGGTCCAGCGCAGCGCAACGCTACTGATCGGCCCCAGTTGGCCGAAAGCGGCGAAACACCTCAGGACCAATTTCCCTCAGGTCGGGGGCGACGATGCGGGCGAATAGCCCTGGGGAGAGAATACGTATATCCAAATGCGCCGATGGCCCATGCCTTCGCCGCGGCTCCCGGGCCAATGCGTGCAATGCCCGCCCCTGGGCCATTCGCCCCTGTCGTCGCCTCCGCCGAACAACCCACTTGCTTCGTGACGACGCCCGGCGGCCCGAAATTGGACGACCGAAGTGGGCACGGACAAGAAACTGCACAATACTCAAAAACACACGTTGTCCAAAACCGACAGCGGCCGCTGTTGGGCGGGCGGACAGCGAGTACTGCTCAAAATGAACACGAGCTGCTGTGCGGCATCGTACCCACTCTTTCCGTGCCAATTTCGTGACGGGCAACGATAGGGGGGACTGGCATAGGGGGGGATGCATCGACCTGGCATCGGCGATACATCGCCGATAGATCGGCGATAGGCCTCCGATCGTGAATCCGCACCTTCCTGGGCAGGTTGGGGCTGTCGGGCCCCTATCGGCGATCACTGGGCGATTGGGGGGGGCCCATGCGCCCCTCCCGTGCCAATGCCACCCTCACGTTGCCCCCGATGTCGGTCTTCCCGCGAGGGACCCGCTGGCCTCCTGGCGGCGCCCGGCGGCCCAAGGGAGGAGCACGCCCCGGGGGCCACACTGGCAGGCAGCAGCGCCCTCCCTCTCTCTCGGGGGGCCCCGCGCGCCGCCCGTGCCAGTCGAGGCGCGCGTCCGCGCGGGGGCCGCGGCGAGCCGCGTGGGGTCTGGGCCCCCCTCCGGGAGCTCACGCCGGGCTCCCTGGCGCGGGAAGGGGAGGGGGGGGGGGGAAGGTCAGAGCACCGGATGGGGCGCAGTCAGGCATACTCGTACGAGATGGTCGGGGATGGACAGACCTCCCTTTAGCAAAACGTGGTTTGGTGAAAACGACGTCGGGCCCAGACCTGGCGGGCGCAAGCCTGGAAAATGGCGGCCGCGGCGCCCTCTCGAGAACCGAAAACGGACAATTCACTAATCGACGTGTCACTGTTGGGGGTTCTGTCCAGCCCCGAGATGTCCTCCTTGGAAGCGGGCGGGCGACCCGAACATATAGTGTAACCATGTTTCAGTATATCGTTTCGCGAGCGGTGTGGCCAGAAAACGCCTGCCACGACGCTAATTTTGGAAGATCTCTCGGTGCGCGCGTCGCACCTGGGGAAGCGACAGACACATAGTATTAGTATGTTAGGGTGACGCCGATAGGAAGGGAGGGGATGGAACATGGATGGATGGGAGGCGGTGAGGGGGAGGAGGGGGAGGATGGGGAGGGGGAGGGAGGGGGAGGGAAGGGACTCGAAGAAAGAGCAGTCAAGGGCCGGCCCCTATGCTAAGACGAGAACGGCGTCAAAATGTAGCTGACTCAGGAAAACACGCCATGAGATCTGAATTTTGTGGCCCTCGTTTTCGGAACCCGCGCGGGACAACATTAAGGTCAACAAATTCTCAAGCACATCATGATCACGATTTCTTGATCGTCTGCTTGTCTTTTGCCGGGGTGTTGTTGTCAAAGCGGTGCGGTTGGGCGGCTGCCATTTTTCGGATGCGGTGGGTGGCGGGTCAGAGGCCTCACGGATGTTGGTTGGGCTCTCGTGGTTGGCCTCTCAGGGGCCATTGGGAGGCAGTTTTGGGGCCTCTTGGGGGCCTTGTTGGGGCCTTGTTGGGGCCTCTTGGGGCCTCTTGAGGGCCTCTTGGGGTTTCTTGGGGTGCCGCTTGGGGGGCCTCTTGGGGCCTCTTGGGGGGCCTCTTGGGGCCTCCTGGGGGCCTCGTGGGGCTGAAGGCTGGACTTTTAGGTTCCTGGTCCCCTTCTTGGGCCCATCTTGGGGCCGTCTTGGGGCTCTCTTGGGCCGTCTTGGCCGCCTCTTGGGCTGTCTTGAGGCCATCTTGGGCCGTCTTGGGGCCCTCTTGGAGGCTTCGTGGGCCGTCTTGGGGCGGTCTTGGAAGCCTCTTGGGCCGTCTTAGAGCGCCGGTAAGCGGAAAAGGCGAGAACGCCCCAAACCGTCATCAACTCAGGGTAAATCAATAATTTCTGCCTCTGTGGGCCCTCTTGGGAGGTCTCTTGGAGGCGGTTTGGGGCGTCTTGAAGGCGCTCTGGGCTGTCTGGAAGCAATCTCTGGCGTCTTGGATCGCTCTGCCACTTGAAGCGCTCCTGGAACGCTCTTGGCAACCTGCTGGGACCTGGCCGGGACCTAGCCGGGACCTGGCCGGGACCTGGCCGGGATCTTGCCGGGACCTTGCCGGGACTTGCGGGGGTACTTTTCGTCCGAGGACCCCCAGGGGCGGCCAAACGCGCGCGGCGAACTAGAAATATGTGTAACCAGTTGCTGGAGATCTTAGCACGACATTGGCCCGTTGGGCCGGCGGACTTGTTATGAAACAAGCGGGTTTTGACAAAAACGGGTCCTGGATCCCAGGGCCTTCTCCCAAGGCCCACTTTTCTGACAGCCCTGTGGGCATGTGGGAGGCCACGGGGAGGCAGGAAACGGCGAACACAAACCACCTCATGACCCGTTTCCTTCAGGACCCGCCTGCGTCGTGGCGACGTGCGCGGGGGAAAAAACCCAATCGATGGTGGGACGAGCCAAACTGCGAGTTGCGACGATAAGAAATTTGCCCCCGTGTTCCAGCTTCCGCGGCACCAGCTCGCTCGTCAGGAGTTCGATGAAGCTGCGGTCGCACGCAGCAGCGTGCTGCCCGAGTGCTGCCGCCCACGTCCAAACCCCGCGTGCTGCGCGCGACAGGGGGCGTTTTTTTTGGGGGGGGGGGGGGGGTCGGGGATGGACAGACCCCCCTTTAGTAAAACGTGGTTTAGTGAAGACGACCTGAGGCCCAAACCTGGCGGGCGCAAGCCTGGAAAATAACGACCACGGCGCCATCTCGAGAACCGAAAACGGACAATTCACTAATCGACGTGTGACTGTTGAGGGTTCTGTCCACCCCCGATTGTCTTTTTTTTGGGGGGTGGGGCCGGCTCGGGGAGGGGGAGCGTCGGCGTGGAAGCGGTGAGGAATCGGCTCTGGATCGGCGATGGGCGCCCGCTGGCGAATCCGAGCGTTCTCCGGGCGGGGCGAGCAGCCGGGCCCCCTCGGCGATCGCTCAGCGATTCGGGCTCGATGCTCCCCCCTGACGTCGTCCCCGACTGCTGCCCGCGCGCGGGCGCTCACGTCCCAGACACGCTAGTTGCACGGCGACCAACGCGGCAAATCCCCCCCCCAGGAGGAGGAGGAGGACGAGGAGGAGAAGGAGGAGGAGGAAGAGGAGGCGCGGGAAGGGGCAGATACGGATGGGGATGCGGGTGATGATGATTTTCCACCACGGGGGCGATGGCAATGACAGGGTGGCAAACGGTGGGGTCCGCATCAGTGCGAAGCTTCGGGCATGTTTGGCGCCAACACACAAAGCGCGCAGAGCAGAAGGGGGGCGCCGAACGGGCGCGATCAAGCAATGCACTGAGCTCGCCACCCAGGGCAATCGGGGAGCCACCGTGAGGGCGGCGGCGACAAGCAGGGCGGAGGTACGCTCGAACTTGCCAATACCTCGAGCACGGGTGAGAGCATACGATTATCCCGGCAAAGCAACCTAACAGCGATGTGTAGAAGCATATCTGGAAGCATTCCCCTTAAGATTCAGATGAGAATCCAGTTGTAGAATCTGCTGTTCTCGCAGTCGTAGTCGCATTCGCCATGACAGTCGCAGTGGCAACGGCAGTCGCAGTCACAGCCTCAGCCTCAGCCTGCCTCAGCCTTAGCCTCAGCCTGCCTCAGCCTCAGCCTGCCTCAGCCTCAGCCTGCCTCAGCTCAGCCACAGCCTGCTTCAGCCTCAGTATCAGTCTGCCTTCAGCCTCGGCCTCAGCCTCAGCCTGACTCAGCCTCACCCTGCATCAGCCTCAGCCTCAGCCTCAGTCTGCCTTCAGCCTCGGCCTCAGCCTCAGCCTCAGCCTCAGCCTCAGCCTCGGCCTCAGCCTCAGCCTCGGCCTCAGTCTGCCTTCAGCCTCAGCCTCAGCCTCAGCCTGCCTCAGCCTAAGCCTGCATCAGCCTGCCTCAGCCTGCCTCAGCCTCAGCCTCAGCCTCAGCCTGCCTCAGCATCAGTCTGCCTCAGCCTTAGCCTCAGCCTGCCTCAGCCTCAGCCTCAGCCTCAGCCTCAGCCTCAGCCTCGCCTCAGCCTCAGTCTGCCTTCAGCCTCGGCCGCAGCCTCATGCTGCCTCAGCCTAAGCCTGCATCAGCCTCAGCCTCAGCCTCACCCTGCCTCAGCATCAGCCTGCCTCAGCCTCAGCCTCAGCCTCAGCCTGCCTCAGCCTCAGCCTCAGCCTGCTTCAGCCTCAGCCTCAGCAGCAGCCTCAGCCTGCCTCAGCCTCAGCCTGCAGCCTCAGCCTCAGCCTGCCTCAGCATCAGCCTGCCTCAGCCTCAGCCTCAGCCTGCCTCAGCCTCAGCCTCAGCCTCAGCCTGCCTTCAGCCTCAGCCTCAGTCAGCCTTCAGCCTCGGCCTCAGCCTCAGCCTGCCTCAGCCTCAGCCTGCATCAGCCTCAGCCTCAGCCTCAGCCTGCCTCAGCATCAGCCTGCCTCAGCCTCAGCCTCAGCCTGCCTCAGCCTCAGCCTCAGCCTGCTTCAGCCTCAGCCTCAGTCTGCCTTCAGCCTCGGCCTCAGCCTCAGCCTGCCTCAGCCTCAGCCTGCATCAGCCTCAGCCTCAGCCTCAGCCTGCCTCAGCATCAGCCTGCCTCAGCCTCAGCCTCAGCCTGCCTCAGCCTCAGCCTCAGCCTGCTTCAGCCTCAGCCTCAGTCTGCCTTCAGCCTCGGCCTCAGCCTCAGCCTGCCTCAGCCTCAGCCTGCATCAGCCTCAGCCTCAGCCTCAGCCTGCCTCAGCATCAGCCTGCCTCAGCCTCAGCCTCAGCCTCAGCCTCAGCCTCAGCCTCAGCCTGCTTCAGCCTCAGCCTCAGTCTGCCTTCAGCCTCGGCCTCAGCCTCAGCCTGCCTCAGCCTCCTGCAGCCTCAGCCTCAGCCTCAGCCTGCCTCAGCCTGCCTCAGCCTCAGCCTGCCTCAGCCTCAGCCTGCCTCAGCCTCAGCCTCAGCTGCCTCAGCCTCAGCCTCAGCCTGCAGCCTCAGCCTGCCTCAGCCTCAGCCTCAGCCTCAGCCTCGCCTCAGTCAGCCTCGGCCTCAGCCTGCTTCAGCCTCAGCCTCAGCCTCGCCTCAGTCCGCCTCAGCCTCAGCCTGCAGCCTCAGCCTCAGCCTCAGCCTCAGCCTCAGCATCAGCCTGCAGCCTCAGCCTCAGCCTGCCTCAGCCTCAGCCTCAGCCTGCCTTCAGCCTCAGCCTCAGCCTCAGCCTTCAGCCGGCCCTCAGCCTCAGCCTCAGCCTCAGCCTCAGCCTCAGCCTGCCTCAGCCTCAGCCTCAGCCTCAGCCTGCCTCAGCCTCAGCCTCAGCCTGCCTCAGCCTCAGCCTCAGCCTGCTTCAGCCTCAGCCTCAGTCTGCCTTCAGCCTCGGCCTCAGCCTCAGCCTCAGCCTCAGCCTGCATCAGCCTCAGCCTCAGCCTCAGCCTGCCTCAGCATCAGCCTGCCTCAGCCTCAGCCTCAGCCTCAGCCTGCAGCCTCAGCCTGCTTCAGCCTCAGCCTCAGTCTGCCTTCAGCCTCGGCCTCAGCCTCAGCCTGCCTCAGCCTCAGCCTGCATCAGCCTCAGCCTCAGCCTCAGCCTGCCTCAGCCTCAGCCTCAGCCTGCCTCAGCCTCAGCCTGCCTCAGCCTCAGCCTCAGCCTGCCTTCAGCCTCAGCCTCAGCCTCAG